AATATTTGGTGGGGAGGGACACGCGCTTAAGCGCGGGAGAAAAGGGTAATTGTTCCCCCCCCCCCCCCCCCCCCTCATATACTCGTGCAACAACCCACATACTGATTACTGTCTAGGCATGCACATCGGGACCCTCACTAAGCAGAGCCGCCGCGCCCCGCGCCCCGCCCGCCCCGCCCGCCACGTCCACGCCCCCCTCGCCCCCCTCGCCCCCCTCGCCCCCCTCGCCCACCGACCGCCGCCGTGCCGCCCACGGGCTGAGCCTGGGGCGCGGGGCGCGAGGGCGGCTGGTGGACAAACGTCGTCTGCGCCGCCACCAGCCGCCCAGTTGCGGCGATGGGCAGCGCCGGCTGGCGGCAGGTCGGGCACTTGGTGTCGCGCTCCAGCACGCGCGGCGCACACGTCTCGCAGTACAGCGCGTGGCCGCACGCGAAGCGGACCGAGCGCGGCGCGTCGTAGCAGAGGTCACACAGGCGCTCCTCGGCCCCAGCCGTCTCCTCCACCTCCCCCGCCGCTTCGACTAGCGCCTCCAGCCGCGGCAGCGCCTCTGCGAGCGGCATCCGCCTCTTCTTCCTCACGAGAGCCAGCCCAACCACCAGCCGCGCCAGCTCCTTGGCCTGCGCCGCCGACCAGCCCGCGTCAGCCGCCGCGATGCCCTCCGCCGTGTCGGGCTCCTCCAGCGCATCATCGCACGCGTTGAGCAAGCCGACGGCGCCGCGGCCGGTCAGGCTGACGAGCAGCGTGATGCCGAGCGCAAAACCATCGGTGAGCTGCGAAGCCTGACCGTCGTGCATGATGATCGGGTCCATGTAGCCAGGCTTTCCGAAGATGCGCTGCGTCGACAGGTGCGACACCTGCTGGTTGCCGCCGGCCGTCGCCTCTGCCGCGCGCGCGAGGCCCACGTCGGCGAGGTAGCCGTTGCCGCGCTCGTCGAGCAGGATGTTGCCCGCCGAGACGTCGCGGTGCAGGATCATCGGAGAGCAGCTGTGCAAATAGTGCAGCGCGCTCGCTGCGTCGCGTAAGACGCGGAGCCGTGCGGCGGAGGAGAGCGGCGGAGGCGGCGTCTCGAAGCCGAGCATGCGGAGCCGCTGCAGCGCGGCTGGAGCGCGGTAGAGGCGGTCCTCGAGGCTGCCGCCGCGGCAGAGGGGATAGACGAGGCACGCTCTCGCCGGCGCCAAACAGACGCCGAGCAGAGGGAGCAGGGACGGGTGGCACGCCGCGCTGAGCGTGCGCACCTCGCTCTGCAGCTCGGCGAGGCCTTGTGCGCCGACACCGACCAGCGCCGTCTTGACGGCGAACCCGCAAGCGACGCGCAGCAGCGACGGCAGCGCGTCGGCGCGGTAGACGCGCCCGAAGCCTCCCTCGCCCACCTTGCGCGCCTCGGCAAAGCCGTCGGTCGCCGCGATGAGCTCGTCGAGAGGGACGGCGGCGGGCGGCGCGGCGGCGGCGGCGAGGGCGGCGACACTTGCCGAAACCGACGCTGCTGCCGCTGCCGCCGCCGCTGCCACCGCCTCCGCTGCCGCCGCCTCTTGAGCCTCCGCCGCCGCCACGGCCGCCACTGCCGCCTCTACAGCCGCCGCCTCGGCCGCTGCCTCCGCCGCCGCCACCTCCGCCGCCTCCGCCTCCGCCTCCGCCCTCATCCTCGCCTCCTCCCTCTCGCGGGCCGCCTCCTCCCTTGCCCTTGCCTCTGCCTCCTCCCTTGCCCGCGACGCCGCCTCCGCCTCCTCCGCCGCCCGCGCCGCCGCAGCCTCTGCTACCACCCGATCCGCTTCCTCCGCCACTCGCGCCTCCTCCGCCGCTCGCGCCTCCTCCGCCTGCTCCGCCGCTCGCTCCGCCGCCCGCGCTGCCGCCGCCGCCGCCTTCTCCTCCTTCTGCCGCTGCCGCTTCAGCGCCCTGGCCTCGCGGACCTTTCGCTCCGCCAGCTCGTCGCGCAGCTGCCGCGCCGCCCGCAGCGCCTCCGAGCCGTCGGCGGCCTGGGTATGCGTATTGATCGCCGCCCTGAGCGCCTCGAGATCGGCGTCGCCTCGGCCGCACGCCTCAACCGCCTCGCGCAGCGCCGCCTCGGCAGCATCGCGCGCCTCCGCCGCCTCCGCAGCCGCTGCCGCCTCGCGTGCGGCCGCCGCCTGTTCGGCTGATTCTGCGACCGCCGTAACCCCCTCCTCCTCTGCTGCGGTCGACGAGTGCTCCTCGAGGGCGCGCACGCACTCGGCGTGGCCTTGCTCCTTGGCGCACTGAAGCGCCGTCTTGCCGTCAACAGTGCGCGCCGCGTCTGCGCCCGCCCGCAGCAAGCGCCGCACGACGGCGGGGTGGTTGAAGTAGGCGGCGGTCATCAGCGCGGTGCCGCCGTCGCTGTCCTGCAGGTTGATCTCCGCGCCGCGCTGCAGCAGCAAGTCGACCAACCGCTCGTGGCCTTTGTCGGCGGCGCCCATCAGCGCGGTGCCGCCGATGCTGTCCTGGAGGTTGATCTCCGCGCCGTGCCGCAGCAGCAGCTCAACCACCCGCTCGTGGCCGCTGCGGGCGGCGATCATCAGCAGCGTGAGGCCGCTCAAGCCGCCTCTCTCGTACGTCGCGTTGACCCGCCCGCCGCCCTCAAGCCACGCCAGCACCGCCTCCTCCTCGCCTCGCGCAGCTGCTGCCACGATCGCACCGGAGGCTCTCACGCCGCCGCTCGACGCCCGCGCCGCCGCCACCGCTGGAGATAGCCCCCGCTGGGTTCCCAAGGTGATGGCGAGATTCGCGACTCTCGATGCAGCCGAGGAAGCGCCGCCGGAGGAAGCGCCGCCTGCGCCTTCGCCGCCGGCTGCCGTCGCCGTGAGCCGTCCCGCCACTACCTCCTGGACGTGCTTCTTGAAGGCCTCGACGCACTCGGTGTTGCCCTTCTCCTTGGCTAGCTGCAGCGCCGTCTCGCCGCTCGTGGTGCGCACCGCCGTGTCTGCGCCCGCCCGCAGCAAGCGCCGCACGACGGCGGGGCGGTTGAAGAAAGCGGCGAGCATCAGCGCGGTGCCGCCGATGCTGCTCTGCAGGTTGATCTCCGCGCCGCGCTGCAGCAGCAGCTCGACCACCCGCTCGTGGCCTTGGTTGGCGGCGAGCACCAGTGCGGTGTCGTCGTCGCTGTCCTGCTGGTTGACCTTCGCCCCGTGCCGCAGCAGCAGCTCGACCACCCGCTCGTGGCCGTAGCCGGCGGCGAGCAGCAGCGCGGTGCCGCCGTTGCTGTCCTGCCGGTTGACATCTGCGCCGTGCCGAAGCAGCAGGTCGACCACCCGCTCGTGGCCGTAGTTGGCGGCGCCCATCAGCAGCGTGAGGCCGCTCAAGCCGCCTCTCTCGTACGTCGCGTCGACCCGCCCGCCGCCATCAAGCCACGCCAGCACCGCCTCCTCCTTGCCTCGATGAGCCGCTGCGATGACCGCATCGGAGACTGGCACGCCACCCCTCGACACCGCCGGCGAGAGATTACCCGGCCGCACCCGCACGCTCTCGCCGCCCTCGAGCGCCACAGCGTACCGCCCGCCCTCAAAGCTCTGAGCCACGCCCCGCTGCCCGTTCAGCTCGGGGCGGGAAGAGAGCCCGCCGAGCACGACTCGCTGCCCAAGCAGCGGCGTGTCCACAGCTGCCGCTGCCGCGCCCGAGGAAGCGCCGCCCGCCCCCGCCCGGCCGTCTGCAGCCGCCGCCGCCTCCGACAAGACCTTGACGCACGCGGCGTTGCCATTCTCCTTGGCTAGCTGCAGCGCCGTCTTGCCCTGTTCATCGCGCGCCGCCGCGTCTGCGCCCGCCCGCAGCAAGCGCCGCACGACGGCGGGGTGGTTGAAGAAAGCGGCGAGCATCAGCGCGGTGCGGCCGACACTGTTCTGCAGGTTGATCTCAGCGCCGTGCTGCAGCAGCAGCGCAACCACCCGCTCGTGGCCGTGGTGGGCAGCGCACATCAGCAGGGTGAGGCCGCTCACGCCGCCTCTCTCGTACGTCGCGTCGACCCGCCCGCCGCTGTCGAGCCACGCCAGCACCGCCGCCGCCTCGCCTCGATGAGCCGCTGCGATGACCGCATCGGGGGCTGCCACGACACCGCTCGACGCCCGCTCAGCCGCAGCCGGCGACAGATTACCCGGCCGCACCCGCACGCTCTCGCCGCCGCCCTCGAGCGCCACAGCGTACCGCCCGCCCTCAAAGCTCTCCGCCACGCCCCGCTGCCCGTTCAGCTCGGGGCGGGAAGAGAGGCCGCCGAGCACGACTCGCTGGCCGAGCAGCGGCGTGTCCACAGCTGCCGCTGCCGCGCCCGAGGAAGCGCCGCCCGCCCTTGCCCGGCCGCCTGCAGCCGCTGCCGCCTCCGACAAGACCTTGACGCACGCGGCGTTGCCCTTCTCCTTGGCCCACTGAAGCGCCGTCTTGCCCTGTTCATCGCGCGCCGCCGCGTCTGCGCCCGCCCGCAGCAATCGCCGCACGACGGCGGGGTGGTTGAAGAAAGCGGCGAGCATCAGCGCGGTGCCGCCATTGCTAGCCTGCAGGTTGATCTCCGCGCCGCGCTGCAGCAGCAGCTCAACCACCCGCTCGTGGCCTTGGCTGGCGGCGGCCATCAGCGCGGTGCTGCCGTTGCTGTTCAGCAGGTCGATCTCCGCGCCGTGCTGCAGCAGCAGCTCGACCAACCGCTCGTGGCCGTTGCTGGCCGCGTACATCAGCGCGGTGCGGCCGAGGCTGTCCTGCTGGTCGATCTCCGCGCCGTGCTGCAGCAGCAGCTCGACCACCCGCTCCTGGCCGTGCATGGCGGCGATCATCAGCAGCGTGAGGCCGCTCAAGCCGCCTCTCTCGTACGTCGCGTCGACCCGCCCGCCGCTGTCGAGCCACGACAGCACCGCCTCCTCCTCGCCACGCTCCACCGCTAGCACGGCCGCGTCGGAGCAGCTCAGGCCGCGTGCACCCACCATTGCTGGGTTCCGGCTCTTTGAGGGGTAGGGGTTCAAGTGCGCCTGACAGGGCGGCGCTCGGAGAAGGCGGTGGGTGGGGGTGGGGGTGGCGGGGCGGGGGGGGGGGGGGGGGGCATTTGTCGAGGGCATGGTACATGCTTCACACAAAAACCCGCGTCCACACAACAAATTCATGGATAATACGTTGATTGCAGTCGAAAAGGGAGGGGAGGGGTCTCCTTGCCACGGTGCGAGCCCTCGACGCACGTCCGAGCCCCTTTATTGCTAGAGTATGCAGACCGAGTTCTACCACGGCACCTCGCGCTGGAGGCGATTATGGCAATCCAGGAGTCGGGCTTCAGCGTGGATCTGTCCGGCTCCAATGCCGGCGCCGCCCTTGGGCCAGGAGTCTATGTTACCACGACGCTACTGAAGGCCCTGAACTACGCTGAGGGCGCGGCCAAACCCAGCATCGGGAGGTGTGCTGGTGCTGGAGGTCGCCCTTCATGGGCGCTGCTACCGTGTGCGTTCGAGCAGGCAGGAGGAGCGCACTAGCTGGGCAGCTCATGGCTACGACTCAGCCAGGCCGCAGAGGGTGTCATTGGCATAGGTGAGGAGAACTGCGTGAGGGACCCTGCGCATCCGCATCACCAACGTGGTCCTGGGCAACACACGAGCTGCACAGGATTCAGGCTACGAGGTTTGCATCCCTCACTCACACACACACATGCGTCAGTCATGCACACATGTATGTACTAGCTGAGGGGCTCGCTAAACGCTCGCCGAGCTCCGTGCTGTGCAACACCACCTCCTCACTAATCGTCAGGGGCGCGGAGAGCGCAGTGCACTGCGGTGAGGCTGCGCAGCGGGGGCTCGCCCCCTGCACCGCGCTCAGCGGCGTAGGGGGGAGAGGGCGGTCGGTGGCGGCGGCGGCGAGGCGCGAGGCGGTGGCGGCGGTGGTGCGGGCGGCGGGATGACAGGGGAGGCGACGGGATTGACACGTGGGCGATGCGCATTACAGTTCAGCGCCGCCTCGGCCTCCCGCTCGATGTTGCCTGCCAGGCGGTGGAGGCGGGCAAGAAGGCGCCAAACGGCAAGCCGCACGAAGAACTCGGCGATGCCGCAATGGTCAACCCGCGTGCGAAGCACGCGCGACACGACACAAATACCTGCTCAAACGACTCGTCAAGACCCTTCGCTCGGCGTGGGGCATGCTCATCGAGATGGAGCCGACTGCACACCTCAGTTACAGTAACCCAAAACAACCTGACGTGGCGGCGGCGAACATCGGCAAAGGGCATGTGCGCCTCGTTGGCGACTTGAAACTCACGAGCTCGCTTGCGTGCAAGGGTGGCGATCGGCTCGGCTGGAAGGGGGCTTTTGTCGCCTTCGGCAACACCGAGCGGGCGCTGCTCGACTTAGTGTTAGGGCATGCTGCATGGCCGCGGCCGGAGGGGGGGGGGGAGGGGGGGAGGGAGGCGGAGGATGCAGAGGCTGAGGCGGCGGCGGCGGAAGAGGAGGAGGGGGAGAGTGAGGGGGAGGCGGAGGCGGGGGCACCTGTGACGGCCCGCTACGAGAAGGGCGACTACCGGTTCGCGCGGGAGAAGAATTGCGACCTGCGTTTGCTCGACTTCGAGACGTTCGGCGGCTTCGGGGACGGCGTCCGCAAAATTCTTCGGCAGGCGGCGGACCAGCTGAGTAACAAACTTTCGCACGCTCAGCACCTCGATGAGGTCACATGGACCACCAAGAACTGGCACGGGCTGCAGATGCAGCGCTTGTCTGTCGTTCTCCACACCGCCGTGGCGTGGCAGACGGTGAACGAGCTAGCGTGCGGGGACAGCGGCATTGTGCACGGTGCTAAGTGCATTGCCGCTCTTAACGGAGTCGCTTAGGCGGCTCCGGTGGTGTGCCGGTGATAGTACTAGCACGCGCCAGTTCGCACCTGTGTCGAGCCTGTCTGCTGTGAGAGAGAGTTCTTTTGTTTGTTCTAAGACTTGTGACCATCTGAGTCTATCTTGTACTACCACACACACGCATAGCTCAAGGTCTGTACAGAGATGCCAGCACCCCCCAGCAGCAGAGCGCTCCTGCTGGGGGGGCGGTCCCGACTCCCCCAGCAGCAGAGCGCTCCTGCTGGGGGGGGGGTCCCGACCCCCCCAGCAGCAGAGCGCTCCTGCTGGGGGGGGGTGCGCACTATAGGTGCGCATATGCTAGTGCTATCCTGCCCTATGGGAGGCAGAGGGATGAGGGGGCAGAGGTAAGGTGGGGTGAGACTGGAGAGGACCTCAGAGCACAGAGGTCCTCCATGGGGGTTGCGGGGTCCGGCTTGTCATCGAACAGGTCGAAGTCGACGCCGGTCCCGCCATCGCCGGGCCCGCCGACGCCCGCCGACGGCCGTCGCCCGCCTCGTGCGCCTGCCCTCGGAGGCGGAGGTCGTAGTGCCCTTGCCCCCCCGTGAACCGTGTGCGGTAGTCCCGCTGTTTGAATTGGATTTAGAACTGTCTACTACACACGCATTTTACGCCCCCCCCCCCCCCCCCCCCTACAATCACGGTAGCGGCGAGGCTGGTGCCTTTAATGTTAGGCGCACACGCAGCTCGCCAAGATACGATCTTGAGAAACACCGCCGCTGCCCCGGTGGTCGCCAGTGGGTGTTTTTGCCACTGAGTTCTGGCGCCGTGGACTTACGCCTGTGAAGGGCTAGAGTTGCGGGTTAGAGAGAGTCCATTCGTTTTCCGTCGCGCCGCCAGCTCGTATTGCGCTGCATTACCGCTTACCTTATCCAGTAGTCCGGGAATCCTCGCTGCCACGGTGGGTCGCCAGTGGGTGTTTTTGCCACTGAGTTCTGGCGCCGTGGGCTTAGGCCTGTGAAGGGCTCTCGTATCGTCTTACCTTTTCCAGTAGCCCGGGGCCGCGCACTCGTTTTCCCTGCGCGTATGCCGGACTCGCACCGATTGCTGTTCTCTATTGTCTTCGGCCCCAGGGTCGTTCGCTATCGTCTTAATACACATCTTCCCAGGCCGCATCATATTTGCACCGACTGTCGTTCGCTATTGGCCCCAGGGTCCTTTGCTATCATCTTAGCATTGCCCTAGCTATGGAGGCTAGGGGATTTGCCCAGCAGTAGCCCAGGTCACATGTCGTCGCGGGCTGGAGGTAGAAGACGTGGTAGCTTCCGCAGTTTGTGACCTCCAGGCCGTCGGAATGCCACTGACAGGGCAAATCCCTGCCGCTGTCCGACCAGTGGAAGCAAGCCCTGACGCCCGAGAATGTTTGGCCGAACGCGGTCGGGTATGTGAAGGTGCTGCCGTCAGTGTATGTGAGCCAGCCGGTAGCTGAGGTGCCGCATGTCGACTTCGCCGGGGCGGAGGTTGGAATCATGCTGTAGCCGGAGGGGGCTCGGTACCAATCTGTTGGCAGGTCCTTGTCGCAACCGTCGGAACTGCTGGTGAATGCCCCGACATAGGGTTTAGCGGAGGTGCACTGTGGCGGCGGAGAGGGTGGGGGAATTGGGAGCCTGTTCGGTTCGGCATCCCTGCCGAGTACGTTGAACGTCTTCGACGCCGTGAGATTGACCATGCTGCCAGTCCAGTTCTTATGCCACTGCACGCCGAGCGTGAGACCCAGGCACTTCTCGGCTTGGTCGCTCCCCGGGAAGGCAATCCCAGCATTGACGTTCACCTTCGGGTACGGCACGTACACCCACACGCCGACCTGAGCGTATAAACCTTCTCGCTGTCCATCTGGCACCTCGGTCGACGCGGAATTGTACTCGACCTTGTCTGACGGTGCCAGCTGCGGGGTCAGGCTTTCGCACATGCGTTTCGTGCTGGCCTTTGTGTTATCGAATGCGCAGGCGGCCAGGTCACCGCCCGCCGTGGCCCTCCAGTTGGCGCTTGCTTCCGCGTAGAGATTGACGACGGTGGCGATGTACACATCAAAGCGCAGGTTGACGTCAACGTAGGCGCCGATGCTGACAGAGAGAGAGGCCGCAACCTCTCCAGTGTGTTTGATCGTGACACCATCGTCCTCCCCTATGTTGGTGAGGCGCTTTGACATACCGCTGCTGCTCATTGTGAGCGTCCACGTCCGCACATAGCCCACGGTGCCAGTGATCGTCGCCTTACCCGCAAAAGACGCTTTCATCTCCAGTGGCAGGCCCATCTCGACCCCCGCGGAGAAGCCAACGGCAAAGAGCAACGGCACCGGAGTGAAGCGCCCCGACTGGCTGAACTGTGCCTTCTTCCCCAGCAAGAGCTCAAGCAGATCCACAGATCGCTGCTCGTCGACTTCCGTTTCCGCGTGTGCCGTCACCGTCGCCACCGCCTCGAGTGAATACTCTATCTCGAGCTCGCCAAAGTCGATGTCCTTCTTCGTTGCCTCATACTTTTGTTTCTGCTCCTCAGTTAGTAGCTCAGTGCGGCGGCCCCTTCCCTGGTAGCGCGCAATAAAGGCATCCGCCAGTCTCTGCTGAATCATCTCCACGCCCCGCTGGTACGCTTGCACCTCGATGGAGCCGCGGTGGTCGGGATTCGCGCGCGCTTCGTGGAGACGGCGGTGGCCCTCGCCGCTGACCTCCTTCAAGGCGGCCTCCGCAATCTGCTCGATGACCGTACGGCCGTCGCCATTTGCCGCAAGACGGCGCCGGAAAAACAGGTCCTTCACATCTTTCTCCAAGTCGTCAACCCAGCCAACGACTTTATCCGTCACCTTCCTTCCGAGCCAGTCTTTGGCCGTTTCCTCAACAAAATCGGCCAATGCGTCGCACTGGATCGTCATAGTCTTCACCTCCATGCACGCGTTGAGCTCCACGTTAGCATGCACCGATAGGATCTTGTTGCCCTTGTAGCTGGTGCTGAAGACCTCGTTGTCCCAGATTGGATTCCGGATCGCGGAGCATTCGTCGGCATCTTCAGAGACCAGGCAGAGCTTCCCCACTTTTTTGAGCTGTTCCAAGATCCCTTCTTTCATCACCTGGCAGGTGCCTTCCACGAGAGGTTTCAAGAAGTCGTGGACGAGAGATCCCATGAGCCTGTCTGAGCATGTTGATGGAATGAATTCCTGCAGAGAGTCCAGAAGCGGTTGAAGGTGGCGTCCCCGATGGGAGGTGCAGGCCAGCGCTCGAGTGGCCCTCGCGGCTGCGGACACAAAGTGGCACTCTCTAGACGCAGTGCTAGCAGAGATGCGAGCAAGCGGGAACTTTGCTCGGCGGGGTCAATCTCAGGTCAATCTCGGCTCGTAGCAGGAAAGGCATGCGCCTACGGGATCGCGACCATGTGAAAGAGGGTGAAAATCTGGTATTGAGATGTCTGGGGGTATAAGGGGGGTATATGGGGGTATATGGGGTATAAGGGGGTTATGGGGTATGCACATGGGGTATGCGGGGGTATACGGGTATGATAAAATCTCTGGGAATCTCCCCACGAAACGATCAGTCGCGCGATCTCGAGCCCGCCCGCCACCCACCCAGCCCCCTCGCCTACACAGATAAAAAGAAATCAGTTCCCGCAAAAATGGTGCTGCTCAAAGGGCACATTGGTGCTGCTCAAAAGGGCATGTGCATGCTGAATGAGATGAGAGAGCGAGACGGAGAGAGGAGAGCCGCGCCTACGGGCAGCACGTCGGCGGCGTGAGCGTCGAGACGAGGCCGCCGGCACGCTCTCTCGCGTCCTCGGCGCTCGAAGTGGAGCCGGGCGGCGATTGACGAGCAAGCGAGAGCGGTCGCTCTCACTTGCCAGAAGAGAGGGAGGGCGGTCGCGCGCGCGACAACGTGGGGAATGGGCAGCAGCGGATGCGTCTCGCGGCCTCCTCGATGGCAGCGGCTGCACCTGCGAGCGGGAGTAGGCAAACGGTGCGAGGCCGAGGGGGGGGTACAGCAGCTCGCGCGACGAGCGAGGCGCATCGCGTGGTGGGGGAGGTGAGGGGGCGGCAGGTTCCGTGAGCAATAGGCGTCGCGGGGGTCTAGGCGTGCAGTTCGCGGCGGCATAGTCGGGCGCAATGCGGCGCGGCAAGCGCGAGCGGACGAGGAAAGTGCTGGCTTGCCTGGTGTGGATGTCAGGCAAAGGGCCGTCGGGGAACATGGGGAATACTCTATGAAAAAGAGCGCCTTCAGACCTTCTCTCTCGAGGTCTCGAAGCGCATCGCAGGGAGAGTGGAGGAGAGTGGGGTGTGTGTTGTGTGTGTGGAGCCAGGTGTGGTGTGGACGCGAGAATGCGAACGACCGACTAGGTAACCCACAGCCGCTCAACGTCAAGCCGCGGTGAAATTTCTAGAGAGAGAGATTTTTAGCAATACGACTCAAAACAACGAGAGAGAGCAATACGCGCACAGACTTCTACGCGTGAAATTTATTCAACGGCGTGCGCGGCAGGAACGACAACGATAGTGGTGGCGCAACTTCTCGTTGTGCTATAATCTATAAAAGGTGCAGCTGGGAGGTGTGTCTTAGAGCGGCCGCACACTGCTCGGTACCCCCCCTG